ATATATATATATATATATATATATATATATATATATATATATATATAGTGTTATATACTTGTAACACTATTCCTACTTTGCAGTTTTTCACTTATCGTGGGGTAGCTGAGAATGGAACCCCCCCTGATAAACGAGGGACTACTGTAATGGATCTCCCACTTCAAGTCAAAGCCCTCACTCTGTATTAGACTCTTTCTTTTCTTTTTCATCTCTAACTCATCTCTCTGAGGAGGTTCTGACTCTGGGGTTCCACCCCCCACCTCAAACAGAAGCTGCAGCTTCATGTAAAAAATGCCACATTGTTTTGACTCAAACACAATAAAACTGACTAAACACCCCACACTATACTTTAACTATGACTCCAAACACTCTACATATCACAAATCTCTCAAAGGTCATTACTCGCTCCCATTCTTGCTGTGTCTCTATCACCACCAAACTCCGTTCAACTTATGTGTTCTTCATGAGACTGCCAGTCTTTGCGGCTCCCTCCAGCCTTGCCCAATAGAAATCAGGTGGTCATTCTTAATGGCATGCCTGGTGTGACGTCACACTCCATATATGGAAATATTTCCAAAGCCACAAATGAAACAGCTTGAAATTGTCATTAAAAACTACATTTTTAAAATCAGGTTGCATTACTTATCAATGTTTGCCACAGAAGGTATTTATTTTTTATGTTTCCATTTTGCTGGATATGTGAATGAAAAAATAAAAAATTTGATTGATGAATGCGGGCGCCCCGCCCCGTCAACAGAACCGAGCGCCTCGTCTACCAAACCCCATCCCCAACCCCCAACCACCTGTCGGCACTGACGTTAACGCTAAACCAGCGGCTTGCAATGCAGGTGCACTAGCTAAAAAGCTAAAGGCAGCCTCTTCCCTCATACTGAACCCTCACGCTGAACGCACCCCCGCCACTCGAAAACTGTCAGTACAAACAGCGCACGGCTCAGATGTGTGTCTGCCCCCCCCCAGACAAAAATCACGGACGAGATGAGCGCCCCGCCATGGTGGGTGCTGGTCTTCAAACCTTATCATGCATGCTCATGTAGGTGACCAAAACACCTCTCAAATGGACCAGACCCAAAGGACCCTAATGACCCTCAGAAGGGAGGAGAGGGAACATGATTTATGAGTTTTAGATGGCAACCAGGAGCAGCTTATTTCAGTTTAAAAGATAAGATTGCCACACTTTTAAGTTTAAATAAAAATGAAAAACAAACCTTTTTGATTTTATTCCACTATGATTATCTTGAGATTAGTAATCTACCACAAGAACATATAAAACGTTTTTAAGTATTCACAGAATGCATTTGTCACACACAAGACAAACACTCACATTATATCCATTATCAGATGCTCCGTTCGTGGACTGAGACTGGTGGCTGACCAGTATGACCTGCTGACCTGGTGGGACTGGCTGACCTGGGATGCCAGACTCATTCAGCACAGCTGGAAACGTCTGACCCTAAATATCAAGAAGTACTCCAATAAGACAACAAAATAACAGTTTTCTGAACGTGACTATTAACGAGCCTGACAGTCTGAAGAGACATCTTTTAAGATCAGTAACAATTTAACAGGTTTTATGAAAGTATTATTATGATGCTGATGTGTGGGTACCTGTGCAGTGAGGTTCAGAGTGACACCATCCAGCATGCCTTGAGCATCTGAGAGTGTCAGAGTCACACTGCCGTCGCTGGCCACAGCTCCTGGAGACATGACTAAGCTCTTAGCTGCAGCCGTATGAGTCAAAGTGGTGCTTGGAGGCAGACTGGTGACTGAAGGGCGGCAGACAGAGAAATTCATATGTCTTCAGTGTACGAGCAGAGACAAGACTGTCAGTTCCACAGCACTCAGTCGAGCAAAACATTCTAAACAGAGGCCAAATGAATGAGTGCCTTAATCCTCAACTGTTCTGTAACTGTTTGACCACTGAAATTATTTATGTTGGCTCCTTAAAGGCCTTTAGTTTTATTAAACTCCACAAATGTTTGTTTTTTAGCAACAATTTTTTAATGACTGTTATTTTGAAAAGGAAAAAAAAATAGCATTTTAGTACCCTTTAGTATGATTTTTATAAATAAATAAATACATTCTAGTCCGAACATTTTGGAGGCCCCTAATTGCCAGATCCAGTAGCCGGCAACAAGGATGCGCTTTTGGTCAAGCATGCACGAGTTGGCTGTTGTGAGATATGGAGGGTTTAATTATTATTTTTCTTTCAATTTTTACTCATGCACACATCCAGAGTGTTTTCCGTTTATAACTTTACTGAACTGGAAAGACCACCAAACTGCAGCAGACCAGTTCATCCTCAAATGAGGGCCTGTTTTCAGTCAAGCCCACGGAGCAGCCGACTCCAGTCGGGCATGATGATTCTTCAGCCTGCAAGCATGTGGATCGACTGCTTTCTACCAAATGTTTACTTGTGACAAGTGTGTTTATTTTTACAGCTAAAATTTATAATAAATTGTCGGATGAGATGAAAAACTGGGCTGAGGCAGCGAACAGCAGCTGAGGTGACTTTATCAGCCAAGAAGTAGAAAACTCAGCAACATTACAATCAAATTTAGAGCTGACTCAACACGAAAAATAATTAACTAATTTAAATTATTCTTTTTCTAAACATTTATACTTTTTAAGGGCCTTTAGTTTAAAATATATATTTCCTGTTAGTCTGCCTAAAATGATTTTTGGACATTCATTCATTTAATTTTATTAGTATTATTATTATCATTATTATTTTTGTTTCTCTGTGCACAACACCAGTTTGTGCATTCTGATCCAGTTTACTAGAAGCTGCAGCAGCCCGGTTCATCAGTACTGACATCATGATGTCCAGCCAACAGCAAACAGTCGTTCTGAGCCGCGGAGCGACTGATTCACAGAGTGAGCCAATATAAATATTAAAAGCATAGAAAGATGGAAAAAGAAACATTACAGAAAGGAATGCATTATTTATATGAGAACTATGGGATCAAAACATTAATGTATAATGGGACTTCTCTCTGGTGGATTTTCCCTCTAACACACACTAGACAGGAGTGATGCTACCGTGAGTTTACGGGAGTATTTGAAACAATTCTGACAAAATTATTAAAATATGAAGGACTTTTAGGTTTTGTCTGAAAACATTGTGTTTATTGACAGCACCACAAATAATAAATAAATAAAAACATGGATGAAAATAAATGTGTAGCTGATTTTTCCCCATGAGAGAGTGAATGGCTGTTTGTCTCATTTGTCTCTATGTTATTATTATTTTTTATTATTAACCTTTATTTAACCTTTATTTAACCTTTATTTAACCAGGCAAATCCCAATGAGATCACAGGTCTCTTTTGTAAGGGAGGCCTGGACCTGAAGGCAGACTAACATGCATGTTTCTGGTCTGTGGGAGGAAACTGGAGTACCTGGAGAAAACCTACAAAAGTACGAGAAGAACATGCAAACTCCACACAGAAAGACCCCAGGTCCAACCAGGGATTGAACTCAGGACCTTCTTGCTGTGAGGCAACAGTGCTAACCACTGAGCTGTCGTGCTGTGTGTCCCTGTGATGGACTGGAGACATGTCCAGGGTGTCCCCCGCCTCTCACACAGTGATGGCTGGATATGGGCACCAGTGACCCCCACAACATGAAAAGGAAGAAGCAGGTAAAGATAATGGATGGATGGGTCTTCAGATGGTGACCGGAGCAGCAGAAGTGGCCGTGTGTTTGTATCGAACTAATCTTGAAGTTTTAATGTCCAACGACAGAGTGTGAAGAGACCTGAACAATCTTTTAAATTTTATTACTATTTACACTCTAAAGCAGAGCCATTCAACTAAACTGCTCAGGTGGGCACAGTTACTGAAAGCCAAGAGCTCAGGGGTCATACATCCAGCAGTTAGTGTCATTAAGTAAGTTTGTTTTATGGTTTAAAATCTAGTTTTATTTAAAAATTAACCCATTGGTAGACCGAACTGAGCTTCCCCTTGGGCCTGATTCGGCCCTCGGGCCACCAGTTGAACAGCCCTGCTCTATAATTAACTGCCTCCATTAGTGTTCCAGTCAGCCTAACAGATTTGTTAGAATTTCTGAACCATTTACAGCATTTTAATCTCCTAATTCAACTGTTTCTCTCTTCTAATGGCTTAAATGAACTGTAGGAAGCTGTTGTTGATAACTGAATGGTTCTGAAAAAGCTCATAAAAATAAAATGTTTACACACTTAGTTTTAAAAAAAAGAATTTTCTGAATATCTCTGTGTGAGTTGCAAGGCTTTCTGAGGTTGGTAAAAATGTGGGCTGAGAGTGGAACTAGTGGATAAAACACAGCAAGAGCTGAGATGACAGGCAGTGTTTGTTGTGTCTGAAACAGCAGATGATCAAAGCTCTTCTTCTGTCTAATAAAACAAAATAAAAAAGCTGTGATTGTAGAGGAGTTCCTGCCGTATTAGTGCTGAATAAGACTTTGATTTGAAATGAACAGGGCTCAGAGTGTCTGTCTCAGGTTGGACTGTATTTGCATACAGAGTGAAAGGAAGAAGCCTAATCAACTAAAGAGATGCTCTTTGTGTCTCTGGGAGCAGGGGAGGGCTTTTCCACTTGAGCTGAGACGAAGGTAACAGATCAAATGAGATATGAGAATGAAACTTGATTATATCTTTAGGTGATGAGCAAATTAGGCAAACATAAAGCAGACTTTTTTCACAATACAAGTTTTATTAGCTCGCAGCTAAAGCTCGTGCACAAGGCTGCACAGTTACAGAGAGGTAATTTATTTATAGTGTCAAAGGTTCAACGTCTTATTGTGAGAAAGTTTCTAAATCATTCCCACTTTTCAGATCCGTTTTTCTTCCGTACGTTTATCGGCACGTAACTCATTCCACTTTTTTATGTGCCATTTCAAAAAGTTGTATTGTATATCAAAATGTTCACATGGGCAGCAACTTGTGCCATCAGAAATTGAATTTGAACTGCTCAGATTGAATCTGTATTCATGTACAGTAGTCCCTCGCTACTTTGCGGTTCGTTTATCACAGACTTGCTCTATCGCGCTTGTTCAAACTCCAAAGTTGTTCCCCCAACTCTCCGCCGCAACTGTCAATAGTATAATTTGTCTATAAAATTGTTATAAGTACACCTCTACATAACATTGTATCCTTATTAACATTAAATTAAAAAAGAAAGAAATATATATCAACTTACAACAAAGATTATTAACATTGTTTTACAGTCTGTAACAGAAAAGACTTAAAGTGCATCAATTTGCCTGAAAAACAAAATCTATCCTGATTTAAACTGTAAACATTTTTGACCATTTGATAATGAAAAATCTAATTAAAAATAATCAATAACTAATAATAAATTCAAATTGATCTACAACATTTTAAGTCAGGAGTGTTATATACAACACTTTGACCTACAAGCTCGTCTTAAGCACAGAGGTGACAGGGCCTGCTCTGTAGCAGGACCAAGACTTTGGAATGAGTTACCTCTGCTAGTCAGACAGGCCCCCTCCCTCTCGGTTTTCAAGTCCCGTTTAAAAACTCACTACTATTCGGTAGCTTTCGACACCAGATGATCTGTGTTTTGATCCTGTACGCTCCACACTGGTTTGTCGTCATTATCTGCATCGTTTTTATGTCTATATTCTGATTTACCTCATTTTGTATTTTGCTTTGTGTGTTACCTGTTGTTCTGTCTGTACAGCACTTTGGTTGGCCTTGTCGCTGTTTTAAGTGCTCTATAAATAAAGTGGTATGGTATGGTACAAAACAAAAATGAATTAAACAATTTGTGCTGATTTTTTTTGTTTTTTTAATCAAAATGAGGAAGTCAGGATTAATGGCTACAATGAGCACGTTTTGCAGTGCACAGCTTTTTGAAGCGCAGTTTGAAACATGATCCTGCAGCTCTCAGCTCCTGCTCAGTGGTTAGCTGGACCTGGACTTGGTCTCAGTGCAGAAACAGCAGAGAAGTCGCAAAGAGCTCAAGAGCGGGTGGGCTGGGTGTGTGTATGTGTGTGTGTGGGGGTCCAGGGGAACGTGCTCACAAGAGAAGAACCTGACAAGTTGTTTAATTACATAAAATATATTTTGTTAGCAAAGAATAGAGTCCTAACATTTATTAAACATACGTTTTTCCAACAAATTGTGCTTTGACGATAAAACTAAAAAATGTTGTCAATGTGAAAGAGGAAAGAGGGGCAGGTGTCGCTCTTGCTTTGAGTTTATACTCTTTGTTGCTGCGCGCTGTGGGTGAAATGCGTCCAGAGCGGAGAACTTGTTAGCAAAGAATAGAGTCCTAACATTTATTAAACATTACTTCTGTATTTTAAAAAAATGTAAAAAATGTGCTTTGACAAACTAAAAAGCAAAGAAAAATAAATAAATGTTAAAGTGAAAGAGGAAGAGGGGCAGGTAACGCGTGCTGCGGGTGACGAGCGTCACCAGCTGCTCAGCAGCAGAGAGAAGCGACACGGTTCAAGCACGGCTCCCCAAACGACAAGACAGACATATTTGTTCATAACTTTATTATTATTAAGACTGAGAGCTGCAGGATTTTAGCAAACAGTTGCCGAACGCACCCTGACAAAATGAGAATGGTGCAAAACAAACAAAAAAACTACTCCCTGCAGCAAAATGTTCCTCGGGGTCACACGCGCCCCCCTGGCATTGCTCCGGGCCCCCCAGGGGGGCGCGCCCCACTATTTGAGAAGGAATGCTTTAAGGAAATGTAGGCGTGGGGTTCAGTCTCAAGGAGGTGGTAATGCAACAGAATGGATGTAATCTGACGTAAAACACCAAGAAGAAAAATAACTTCCTTCACGGCGTATTTTGAGCTGGAGCAGTGGAACAGTAGCGCAACGAATGAATTAATTAATTAATGTACGTTCTCCATCTCCATTTTTTTACTGCTCATCTGTAGTTGGGTCATAGAGGCAAACAGATCCAGGAGAGAAATCCAGACCTCCCTCTCTCCAACTCCTCCTGGGGGACAAGGTGTTCCCAGACCAGAGAAGATACACAATCCCTCCAGTGAGTTCTGGAGGCCCCAGGGTCTCATACCAGTGGAACATGCCACAAGAGCCTCCAAAATGAGGCATCCTTGTCAGCTGCTTGAAGCACCTCATCTGACTCTTTCTGATGCAGAGGAGCGGCGGCTCTACTCTGAGACCCCACACCCCAACCCCCTCCCCCAGTTGAGGAAGCTACACCTTTAATCCTTCAGAAACCACAACAGTTACTGTTCCCACCTGTCATCCCAGTGTTGGTGGAGCTCTGAGGTAGAAGCTGGTCGTTGGTGATGGTCAGGGTTGCTCCAGTGGGTTGGTTGTTCAGTGATGATGCCATCCTGATCCCACCGTTCATCTCTGCACCAATAGAACTGGGATTATGTGGAAGCAGGTCCTGACCTGTGGGAATATTTGTAATGTTTGTATTGTTTAATAAACTGGTGGGAAAACAGACTGCAGCAGAACTCAATCACTGCTGTTCACAGACGCTCCCTGGTCCAAACTGAGCTGCAGCTGCTTTGTCAAGAAGAATGAACAAAAACAGGTTGAGACAAACCCCAAGAGTCACAGCTGTAACTGCAGTAAAAGATACTCCATCCATCATCCATCCATCCATCCATCATCCATCCATCCATTCATTCATCATCCATCCATCCATCCATCCATCATCCATCCATCCATCCAACAATTCATCATCCATCCATCCATCCATCCATCATCCATCCATCCATCCATTCATCATCCATCCATCCATCCAT